GCTGGTATGGGTTCATCTCCCTCTGGGTACCATGGGTTTGATGGTGCTGGACATGGGCACATCATCGTCCTCGGGGATGGGGGGGCACCTCCAGGACCGCTGCCTGCCCGTTTTACTTCTGTTGTCTCCTCCCCAGGCCCAAGGGCGAATATTTGGGAAGCTGAAAGAGGAGAACTTCTTTAACCCGAAAGAAGAAGTGAAGCTTGAAGCCCACATCAAGGTGCCTTCCTTCGCTGCCGGCCGCGTCATCGGCAAAGGTGGCAAGACGGTAGGTGGGGGCTGCAGAGTTGGGCATCATCCCTACCCGCCCCAGGGGGAAAACCTGGGTGCTCAGTGGTCACAGCAATGGGTTGCCCCCAGCCCCACGTCCTGGTGGTGGTGGCTGTCCCAAGGAGGGGTCAGGGTGCGACCCGGTGCTGCGTGCTGGCTCAGAGCTGGGGTGACACCGGATTTTTTGCCTCTTCCATAACAAAACCCGGGGCTCTGTCATTTGCTGCAGGTGAACGAACTGCAAAACTTAACCAGCGCAGAAGTCATTGTGCCGCGAGACCAAACCCCGGATGAGAACGAGGAGGTCATCGTGAAAATCATTGGGCATTTCTTTGCCAGTCAGGTGAGGCTTGGTCCTGGCTTTCCCAGTGTTCCCAGCCGGTTTCATCCCTCAAGGAAAGCTCCCGAGCTCAGGGCTCCTTGGGCATCCCACTGCTCTGTTCTGACTGGCTCCTGTGCACCCAGGACATGCTTAAAGATGTTTCAGCAGCTCTCTCATAGCCTTAAAATTAAAAATTGTCTTGATTTCGCTAAAATCTGTATCTTAGACACCCTGTGGAGTGGCGCCCAGGGTGTGAATCGGCATCAACACTGGTGGGGGATACCCCAGCCATGGCTCCTGCCTGCTCGAACAGAGTGGGGGCACCCCAAAATTCAGATTCTCAAGAAACAACAGAGGAAGCACAAGTTAAGAGTGGCTCCTTCTTTAGCCCATCCTCAGTTACCGCGGGCTTGTCCCGTAATTGCAAGCAAGATGCTTTTGCGACTTGGAGGGGGGGGGAAACAACTCCTGGGGCTGCTCGTGATCCCCCCCTGACCCGCAGTTCTTGCTTTTCCCCCCTGTCCCCTTTCCCCAAGACTGCACAGCGCAAGATCAGGGAAATCGTCCAGCAGGTGAAGCAGCAGGAGCAGAAACACGCGCAGGGAGCCCCGGCCTCGCAGCACGGCAAGTGAGGCCCCCGCTGCGCCGGCCAGCACCGCCCGATGAATGTAACCCCACCGCCAGACCCCCCGGGCCGGGGCGCAAACCAAAGACCCCCCGAGCCCCCGCAAGGAGGGGGCAGCGGAGGGGCCAGGGAGGGCTCTCTGTGTCCCCCATACACCGTCGCCACCCGACGCTATCCCTTTAGTTGGACTAACATAGGCAGAGAGAGAGGAGAGAGAGATGATTTTTAATTTTTAATTTCCTAAAAGCCACCCGTTTTATCCAGTATTATTGGGGGGGAGGCTGCGGCGCACAGTGCTCATCGATTTTTAGAATTAATATATCGATAACAAAACTAACGCTGATTTTTAAGTTTTCTAAGAAATTTTTTAAAATTATTCTTTTTTTTATTTCAAGGGGGGAACGTTTGTTTTTAGCAAAAGCAGGCTTTTCTAGAGCTGTAAGGAAAGGAGCGAGACCATTGGTTCTCTGATGCACAGTAGGGATGTAGGATTGCCAGCAAGGGAAGAATAGCGTATTAAATGAGCGTTACAGAAAGCGTTTTCTTAAGGGCTTTGAGAAGAGCAGCGCCTGCATGAGCCAACAGAAGGGATACCGTCTCCTAACCGAGGAATTTCTCTTTTCACCCCCTTTCGTCTTCGCTTCACAAAGTCCAAAACCGGGGTTTGCATCTGTTCTGTCCCTCCTTTCTGTCTGTCTGTCCCCTCGCTCTCCATCACTGCCCGACACAGCAAGGAAACGATGGGCGGCATCAGCCCTGCCCGCTTTGGCCAGGGATTTTTGGGGAAAAATCTCTTCTTTTGGTGTTGCAGGGAAAAAAAAGGGGGAAGTGGGGGTGGAAAACCAGATTTACAAGAGGTTGTCAGTCCAGGGCTGGAAATAAAACCAGCAATTTTTTTTATAAGTTAAAAAGAAAAACCAAACCAACC